CACCTCATTGGCCGCCAACTGATTCCAAAGACTGGAGGAAATATGGTCAGCACGAACCTCTACTGAGTACAGAGACTGAGTACAACACCACACATTTCATACTTCACGACTGATGACCCCAGCCAGTTTGCTTGTTTGCGAATGGCCCTTGACTATATCCTGCGTCATGATGCGACTGAACGTTTCAAGTACCAGATCCTAGTCAATCACCTCAAGTTGGAAGACGTCCTCCTGATTGCCGATTCCTACAGCAATAGCTGCTACACATACAGACAGGCCATGTCGTCTCTGATAGAGCTGTATGGTCAACCTCAAACTTGCTCTGCAGTGGATCACTGACGTGTTGTCTGAGCTCGGCTGAGTGGTGACAGCCGAGCACTCCATCTTTTCGCCCTGAAAGTGAGGGCTCTCGTGGGAATGTTGGAAAGCTTGGGAAAGAGGGGAGAGCAGAACTGAAGTGTGGGTCACACGTCACCAGACTGCTGTCCAAACTGCCACACAATCATCGAGCGCAGTTTAAGCGGTTCATCAATCCTCTTCAGACACCCATCCCGACCTTAGCAGATTTGGCAGAGTGGCTTGAATACGAAGTCTGCATTCAAGATCATGATGTGTATTTCCATCATCCTCAGCAACCTTGAGAGCCACGTGTGGATTGTGGGAAGGGTGCCAGACCCAAGCAGAGATCAGCAACAGCAACCAGACCGTCTTATTGGGGTACGACTCTCCTGCTAAAGGATCAGGGCCTCTGAAGCAGGCAGTTTCAAACTGGGGAAGCCAAAGAAATTCTGCCCCTTCTGTAATAATCTTCAGCATTATTTCAATCAGTGCACAGATTTCAAGAAGCTCAGTACGGAGCAGAAGTTGTCTTGGAGTCGAACAGGCAAGTGGTGCTGGAGATGCGGAAGGGACCATCCAGCAATGATACCTGAAAGCTAGATGCCAGCAATGCAATCAGGTGCATTTGGAGGCACTCCATGAGGTTAATGCATCGCGATCCACTAGCTCTGACAGACCGGTGGAGGAAGCTGTCCAACCCGTCACGTACTACGTTGATCTGACCTGGGGGACCAGTTGCATGCTACTGAAAATGGTCAGGGTGTGCCTCTATAATGGCAAAAGGAAGCTAGAGACATACGCCATCCTAGACGATGGGTCAGAGCACACGATCCTTCTTCACAGTGCTACTCAAGAACTGGGCCTTCAGGGAATGAGGGAGGAGTTGGTACTTCAAACTATCCGACAAGATATAAGAACGGTAGAAGGACATTCAGTTTCCTTCGCTATAGCCTCCGCCACTGACCCTCGGAAACGGTTCCGGATCCCCAGAGCATTCATTGCCACTGAGCTTGGGCTCGCTAAACACTCACATCCAGCTGACGCACTGCAAAGGTCCTACCACCACCTGGAAAGTCTTCCACTTCATTCGTTTCACCAAGCTCAACCATTGTTGCTGAGTGGCTCTGATTACCCACATCTCCTGACTCCAATAGAGTCTGTACATCTGGGTCCATGGGGAGGACCAGCTGCACTCAAGACACGGCTGGGTTGGACTCTGCAGGGTCCAGCCAAAGTTCTTCTGCATCAAGCCTCCACTCCTCAGTGTCTACTCACAAGCACCATGACTCCCTGTGCTGAACTTCTCAGTAATGTGGCCAAGCTCTGGCAGATGGATGTTCTCCCATACCAGAATGAGAGGGTGGCCACACATTCAAAACAAGATATTATGGCTGTCAAGATGCTAGAGGAGAAGACCATCAGAGTGGAGGTGGATGGTATCAACCGATACACCACCCCTTTGCTGTGGAAAGAGGAACCAGTCCCGCCTCATTCATAAACTGACCATCGCAGACATTAAGATATACAGTAGCACCTGGTACGTACCGCACCACATGGTTCATCATAATGACAAGAATCACATTGTCTTCAACGGTTCCTTTGTGCACAATGGTACCAGCCTGAATGAGCATCTCCGCGCTGGTCCTACCTTGGGCTCGACACTCCTGGGTGTGTTACTTCGCTTCCAGGAGTATCCCATTGGGGTGAGCAGTGACATTAAGGGGATGTTTCATCAGGTCACTTCTTGACTGAGGACAAGCCTTTTCTCCGATTCCTCTGGAGAGACATGGATCGAACTAGGCAACCAGATGTCTATGAATGGCAGGTCTTGCCCTTCGGGATAACATGCAGTCCCTGCTGTGCCACCTATGCTCTCCAGCGGCACGTTCTGGATCACAGCAGCCCCAACGAAGATACCCGTCACACAGTGGAGAAATGTTTCTACGTTGACAATCTCCTCCAGAGCTTCGCATCATTTCCCGAAGCCCAGCAGCTGGTCAACAAAATCCAGCAGTTGCTACTCACCAATGGCTTTGAATTACGACAGTGGGCTTCCAACTACCCAGAACTCATCAGTCATATGCCACCTGGATCAGTCTCGGAGAAGAGTGAACAGTGGTTTTCCCCCAATGGAACTGATGTACCGGAGCAGACTCTGGGCCTGCAATGGCACTGCCAGTCTGACGAGCTCAGATATCAGATACAGCACACCGAGCAGTTGGTGCAGCCCACAATGCGCATCATCTATCGGGTTCTGGCCAAGCAGTATGATCCGCTTGGCCTCCTCATTCCTTACACCACTCGGGCCAAAATCCTGGTCCAGCACCTCTGGAGAAAAAGGAGATACTGGGATGATCCGAATCTGCCAGTCAACCTGCTGCAGCTGTGGCATGCATGGGAAAGTGAATTGATTCAGCTCCCTGATGTCCCCCCGTCACATTGTCACATGCAGCCAGAGACAGACCTATCCCTTTGCAAGCAAAGCATCCACATCTTCTCCAATGCATCTGAGAAGGCATACGGAGCTGTGGTCTACCCTCAGACAGAAGATCATATAGGGGGAATCCAGGTAGCCTTCCTAGCCGTCCGATCTCGAGTTGCTCCTGTCCGTCAATAGTCCATTCCTAGGTTGGACCTCTGTGCTGCTCATGTGGGAGCCCAGCTTGCTGCTGTTCTCAAGAGGGAACTCACCCTTCATATCTCCATGCCACAGGTTGTCTACCCAGAAACAGAAATCTTGAGCCGTCGTAGGTGGAGGCAGTGCCAAGCCTTGGCGGATCAATTCTGGATCCACTACATTTGGAATTATCTACCTTCACTCCAGATGCGGCACAAATGGCAACACAAAAGAGATCAGTTGACTGTTGGCACTATCATTCTCATTGTGGACCAGCAGCTCCCTCGTGCCCTATGGCTCGTTGGGAAGGTCATCCAAGTCATCCCTGGAGCAGATGGCAGGGTTCGGACTGCTCAGATACAGGTGGGAAACAAGGCATATATACGACCAGTGGCTCAACTCATCAGACTTCCAGCTCTTCCACCAGAGTCTACTGGCTGACCTTCCTAAGTGAAGTGCACCTTTGCTCCGCAAAGTTGGGGGCGGCTGTACTGATGAACAGAGCCACTCTGCTGAGTAAATATATAAGCATACAGATGGCGATTAGCCAATGAGTGTAATTGCTCATGTTGGCTCTTGTGTAAAGTGTCTAGTTAGGATCTATGTAAATGGTAAAATTAGCACTTGTTGATATTCCCTTATTTTGGTTGAATGTTGTACTTCCCAGTATTGTTTGTATTGTTGTATTACACATTTAATTTACTCTGTTCACATAATTAGATAAGACTTTTATGTTCTCTTCCAACAGAAACCACATCATCACTTCAACACAGGGCATATAGCATTCTACGGCACGTTAAATCCCCTCACTCACATTATGGATGTGTAACTTGGATTCTTGTTCAATAAATGAGTGAACGACAGATACCCGAGTGGAAGTGGATTTGTGGATAAACCATCTGTTCTTATCAGGCAACCCTGTTGAAATTGTGGATTCATAGTGTCAGCACCTTATCATCTTCATCATTCATAGTCAGGAGGTCAAGTCCGTGTCTCTTAAAGTGACATCCTCGATTACACTTTCCCGTTCCCTGGTCGTGTCAGTATATCGATCGATCGATAGATAGTTGACTGAATAACCAGCCACTATTCTCTATCTATCTATCTGTCTGTCTGTCTGTCTGTATAGATAGATGACTGAATAACTATCCACCTGTTTTACGTTTTTCTTGGCCTTCAGACAATAATTCCTGTTTCTATAGTGTTGGACAGGACAGTCAAAGAGCAGAACAAAAGAAAAACGAAAAAACTATGCAAAAACATCAACAGGTCATCTACTAATGGGTAGCTTCGTTGTTTGATCCCTGGCTGCTCCAGTCTTCATGCAAATATCCCCCAACTTGCTCTCTGATGCGTGAATGTGTGTGGATGTTAGGTAGAAAGCATTCATGTAGAAAAAGCATAGAAAAAGTAGCTTGTATGAATGGGTATGAATGTGGCATGTTGTATAAAGTGCTTTGAGTGCTCAGGTAGAGCAGAAAATTGCCCTATAAGTCCATTTACCATTTATCATTTGTTTCACCCTTTGATGCATAAATTACTTTAACTTCAATCAGGATTTTTTCTTAAGTATTTTTATTTATCTTTAGACATGAAAAGATAAATGGTTGGATGAATCCGTATCACAACCTTAACCAAGTATTCTGCAGCTGACGCCCTAATCTGACTGTCTCACAGTGACATCTCTTTAGTTCACTGTCTTCAAGTATATATTTTGGCTCTGTATTCTTGGTGTAAAGAGTCGCTTCCTGTGATATTTTTGTGTTTTGTTGTCACCTATAGTGCTAAGTGTTCTTGGTGGTATTTTCACACAACAGCACCCAGAGATTACTTATCACCTAAACGCTGTGGGCAGCCTTTGTGTTTCCTTTTCTTTTGCATCAGTATTTTTGTATGCACAGTTCTTCTTTCCAGTTTCATAGTGACTTGCACTATTCAGTAATACTACTGCCATTGTTTTTTGTTCTTAAAACAATGTAAATACATCACTGAATTACTGTTTAGAAGTTGTATATTGAAGCTCTAAAAATGTAAAGGCTTTTACCACTATGAGGTTCCACATGCGAGCAGCTTCGGCCACCAGTGTGGACACAGAGCTGCAGCCTGGCATCAACACGACCTTAATAGGCTCTGTGTACAGAAGGTCATACAGCAGCTTGGTGGCCTCACCAGGATCACACTATAGGGACACAAACACACAAGACATGTTTGTCAGCATACATTGTTCCAAACAACTTTACATATGATAACACTAAATAAATAACTGTTCATAGCTACAATTAAGTCCATAAGTATTTGGTCAAAGACATTTTTTTGTGATGTTGCCTCTGTTCACCACCACTGAACTTTAAATCAAACATCAAGATGCACTTACATTTTTTT